GTAGGCAGGGTAGTGGTGGTAGCATTGGCAGGGTAGTGGTAGTAGTGTCGGCAGGGTAGTGGTGGTAGTGTCGGCAGGGTAGTGGTGGTAGTGTGGGCAGGCTGGTGGTGGTAGTGACGGTTGGTACAGATGACTGATAGTTGTGGTAGTGGGGTGATATGACAGTATATGTTGTGTTACTAAAAATTTATTATGTTACTATTCAAATTTTATTTTCCAATATAAATTTTGTGGAATTAGTTAAATAATATAAATTCCTGTTTTTTTATTCGCCGAGGCAGCCAGTCGACAACCCCGGTATAAAAACAGTGTGTGAGGCAGAAACAGCTGCTGTCATACATCAATTCTTTATGTATGTCGAACACAGCAACAACCTGCAACAGCATAAACAGCGGGAGTTGTAAACCACAGCGCTCAACACCCGTCATACTGTAGCCAGTACATAAAACACCTGGCTCTTGTGCCTGCCTTTAGTGCACGGTGGTGGTGGTGATGATGATGTGGTGCTGATGATAGCGTAATGATGATGGTGTGGTGATGATGGTGTAGTGGTGATGATGGTGTGAGTGTGTGATGATGATAATAGTGCAATGATGGTGTGGGTGATGATGGTGTGATGATTATGACAGCACGGTGGTGGTGATGATGGTATGGTGATGAGATGGAGTGATAATGATGGTGTGGTGGTGATGATGGTGTGGTGATTATGGCAGAGGGTGGTGATGATGTGTGGTGATGATGATGGTGTGATGATGATGGTGTGATGATGGTGTGGTGGTGATTATGGTGTGGTGATTATGGCAGCACGGTGGTGGTGATGGTATGGTGATGATGATGATGTGGTGATGATGATGGTGTGATGATGATGGATGGCGTGGTGATGATGGCAACACGGTGATGGTAATGATGGTGTGGTGATTGTGATAGCATGGTGGTGGCGGCGATGATGGCGTGGTGATGATGGTGTGATGATGGGCGTGTGATGATGGCAGCACGGTGATGGTAATGATGGTGTGGTGATTGTAGTAGCATGGTGGTGATGATGGCGTGGTGATGTTAGTGTGGTGATGATGATGGCGTGGTGATGATAGTGTGGTGATGATGATGGCGTGGCGTTGATGGCAGAACGGAGGTGGTGATGATCAGGATGATGTGGTATTGGTGATGACGGCAGCACGGTCGTGATAGTCATGATGGCATCGCGGTGGTGGTGATGGTGGCAGCACGGTGGTGATGATGATGATGATGATGATGATGATGATGATGATGGCGTAGTGATGATGGTGTTGTGGTGATGGTGTGGTGGTGGTGATGATGGCGTAGTGATGATGACAGCACTGTGGTGGTGATGATTGCAGCACAGTTGTGGTGATGATGGTGTGGTGGTGATGACGGCAGTATGTTGATGGTGATAGAAATGGTGGGGATGATCTTGGTGACATGACGGTAAGGGTGGTAGTTTTGGTGATGATGGTGGTGGTGCTGCTGTTGGTCATGGTGATGATGGTGGTCGTGGTGATGATGGTGGTAATGTTGTTGGTGGTTTTCGTGGTAGCGGTGTAGGTGGTGATAATGATATGTTAATGGCGATGGTAGTGGTGATGGTGTTAGTGGCCTAGTGGTAGTGTAAATGGTGATGATGGTGGTAGTTGTGGCGATGGAGGTGATAATGACAACATGTTGAAGGCAGCGGCGGTCATAGTGGTGGTGTAGTGGCTAGTGGTCAGGTGAACTTGGCTGCCGGCAACAGATGGTCCCCACTACGTCATCATTATCCACTGACACATTGATCACTATTAACCATCATTAAGTACTGTCCAGCCGGAAGTTTTGCAATCGGTGGCCAAGAGGTGCAAGGAGCCACGACCGCCGCCCACCACCCACAGCAGCAGGCCACCACCGACAGCAACCGCACACCACCCACAGCAGCCGCCCACCACCCACAGCAGCCGCCCACCACCGACAACACCCACCTGATTCTGTAAGGTAGGAATTATTTCTCTATCGTCTTACTCTGTCGGAGGTGTTGAAGGGTGGGGCAAAGGGTGGTGTAGAGGATGAAGGATAAGAACTGGGGGAATAGATAAGCAAGAAGAAAATGAATGAGCATGGGAGAGAAAGGGTGAAGAATGAAGGTGGAAACAGTAAGAAGACATGTGATAGGTAGGTGAGGGAACTGAGGAGTAAAGGGAGGTAGAAGATGGGGCAGGTAAAAAAAAGGATAGTTGGATGAACTAGAGAGTGATGGAGAAGTGTGAGGCGAGAGAAAGACGAGGGCAAGGCAGAATTAGTTAAAATAGATCACAGAGGAGACAAGAAGGGAAACAGAGACAGCAAAACAAAAGTGTAGGAGAGACGTGTTGTTAAAATAGTTAACTAATGTTCGTTGTCGTCTCATTGTCTCGAAATATGTAGTATATGTGTGTGTGTGTGTTTTTTATATATATATATATATATATATATATATATATATATATATATATATATATATATATATATATATATATATATATATATATATATATATATATAATGGAATATACCTGATCTATCTTTCGAATACAAGTTTAATGTGAATTCTTTGTAATCTTGGAAGATGAAATGTTAATAAATAAATGTGAACAATATCGTTTATGATCTCTCGTTATACATACATTATATGGTAGATATAGATGTGTGTAAGATACGTACTAAACTGAAAGTGCAAGATATATATGCAATAGATATTCCAGTTAAAAAGAGCCGGGATAGTGTAGAGTGGAGGAACAGAAGTAATAGTCACGAGGAACAAGTGCAAGTTCACAACTTTTTGTAAACCCAAATAGTGACAAATAATTGGCCGCACTCTTAAAAAGCGAGAACATTGAGATAAATTAACTACCCAGACACATAAACGGAACATTTGCGTACGTAAAGACAGCCAACTAAACCGAGAGCCTTACCAGGTGCTGGGAGTCAACACACACCATCCATCAGGGACGGTAAACAGGCCACGCCACTGGTAATATGTTGCTGTTTGGTCGTTGTTGCGTGGTGGTGTACCTCGGTGTTTTGTCTTGACCTGTCTAGGGTTTTCGGATGTACACAGTGACTCAAATATATAACCACGAAGGTTTTATGATACTGATGCTACACTTTTCTATCGCGAGCAACAAAAACAACTTTCAAACACACCATTTCCAAAGAATCTCCGAGATTTAGATCAAAGAAACTGTGATACTGATTTCTAAGACCACTTTTTGTCATGGTAATTTTGTCGTGCATCCTCCGTATTCCAGCATGGTGATCATTAGAGAGTTGTGAATAGAAGTTGTCAAACATTGACCACCACTAGCAACATCACCTATAAAAGCAGTAAAAACAATAAAAATGACGAGAATAAGAACAATTATATTCCAAACGGCAAAAATGACAGCAATAGCAGCAGTAACAGCACCAACAGGAACTGACCAACAGCGATATTTACAGTAATTTGAAAAACATTAACAGAGATAACAACAAGAAGGATGCCATCGGGAAAAACAAGAACAGCAACAACACGCCAGCAGTCATGGGCCAATGCGATCTTGGCACCTTTGACGAATGATGGTAGGCGGCAGGTGGGACCAAGGTGCCTGTGTGTCTTCCCTCACGCCACGCCAAGACTTGTGGGGACGGTGGCTGGACTCCTCCCGTTTCCTCGTCCAACCCATGACATACTGATGGAATCACAGTTGTCTAATACATCCTTACGCACCCAACGCCGCAACTGGAAATTATTAACATCATTAAGAGGTATGTTGTTTATGCAGTTAATCATAGTGTAGGGACCACTTGCTAAATCGGTAGACATTTGTCACCTGCGTCCTAGTGAGATTCCACCAATCAGAGACCACTACGGCCTCCAGACGACCAGTCACAATGCTTGCCGCCATTACCTTTTCGGCGCCATCATTCACCAACGCATAACGTGTCATTTTCCGTCACCACTTCCTAGTCATCATTGCATTAGCCTTGCACACCATGCAAATTTAGTTATGACCGTTCATTTGCAAAGCGAAGGCTGCGTTTTTGTCGAGCTGTGAAGGTACCTGGCAAGTGGGAACTGTTTAAGTGAATGCCAATTCATTTTCAGAAAATTTCAAAGATGACTCGATAAGCTGAAGGATATTCATGATGTTTGTGTATCAGCTGACAAGCTTGAACCTGAGCAGCATCAGCTGAGGGACGGATCCATTGCGGCCGCGGAGACGTGAAGAACAGCGCGTGATTTTTGTGGCGATTTTCAGGGTGTAATTTCTTACATTCCATCTGTCGCTTCCTCAGCGGCTGTCACCTCCAGTGATGGCTTTAATATATAACTCTGCTTTTTCTCTGGAAGATCATGTTTTGTTACACGAGCAATGTATCTCAATCTCTTTATAATAATTATTCGTAGTTACCTGTATGTCAGCTCGTCAGGTTTAGTTAAAAACGTCTTTGTCACGCCAAGTCAGAGGTACGGCCGCCTGGTACCTCGGGATAACTTGGCGTGACGGACCATTGCAGCAGGCAGTGTTGTCATTATCAGAGGCCGCCGCATCGCTCAACGTCACCGGCCGTCCTCCTGCACCGGTTACTACCGCCGCTAATGTTGCCTACACCTTCTCTACGCCAGGGTCCTTAGTACCTATAATTACCTCTTTCCTCCCTCCCTCAATCCCTCCTCTTTACCTCCGTCTCCTACCTCCTCTCCCTGGAATACATCATGACTAAAGCGCACCTCTGCCATTGTATTATTAAAGACCTCAGTGTATAATTATTAGCTGCGTCACTTCACTCTAAAGAACTCTCAACACGTATTAACGATAGTATGTACATGGTGGTTACTCCTTGCCAAAATTATCATTTGGCTGCAGGGCGTCTGGTGAAAGCTATCCTGACCTGATACATTATGATTTGTATAATTCTAATAAATTATGTCTATCTCCTGTCTACATTGTCTTGACTCAAAACTGATTTACGTATTTTGTCACCCACAGGCGACGCGAGCAATGCCAGCATCGGTTCAGGAGAAGGAACAGAAGAAGATGACGATGGTACGAAGAAGAACCAGAAGAAGAGGGGCATCTTCCCTAAAGTGGCCACCAACATCCTCCGAGCCTGGCTCTTCCAGCACCTCACAGTAAGTACCTACATCCTGCCTTTTAGCATGTAGATTTTCTTGTTTTACTGATGCTAGAGGAGTATGACATTGTTGCTCACTCATGCTGCAGAAGACATCGTTCATTTCTTTTAATAAATTAATAAATAAATTCCTATATTGAACCTCACTATCAGCTTCATTTTATACACAGTATATACTTTAATTAAATCATTATGGTATCCTTCGAACCCTTCTCACACCACTCCACTCGGGGGGCATCGTGTCCACTCGGGGGGCATCGTGTAACTCCGTGGAGAGCTGTTACTTGACGTCTTACATATCCTTTTCAGTGCCTTGTACAATAAGTCGGAAGTGCCACTTGTTTTACGCCGCGCCACTTCAAGGTCATAATACACTTGAGGCTTATGAATGTTTTATCTCGTGTGTTGGTGTGGGCGGCGGCGTGTTGTGTCCGGCAGATGTGATGGGGGTCCCAGATGTGTCGTGGTCCATTATCAGGGTGGGTGGGGCGGTAGAAAGATGCTCTGATAGTGTTATACCTGTTGTTGTGGTGAAGGTTGTAAGTTGTATTGATCACATGTTGTAATGGAGGTTGTAAGTGACTGTAATGAAGGGTTGTAAGTTATAGTGAAGGGGATAAGTGGTTTTAATGAAAGTTGTAATTGGTTTTAATGATGGATATAAGTTGCTCTAATGAAGGTTGTATTTGTTTGTAATGAAGGTTGTGAGTTGTTATGAACTCTATAAGCTTTAATAGAAGACATAAGTAATTGTAATGAATGTTGTAAGTGGTTATAATTACGGTTCTAGCTATTGTAATGAAAATTGTGTATTGTAATGATAGTTGTAAGTTGTGATGAAGATTGCACATTGCTGTAAGGTGTGACAGTGGAAGGTTGGTGTGGTACAGGCCGTGGTGTGACATGGTGAAGGCTGTAAGGTGTGAAAGTGGAAGGTTGGTGTGGTACAGGCCGTGGTGTGACATGGTGAAGGCTGTAAGGTGTGACAGTGGAAGGCTGGTGTGGTACAGGCCGTGGTGTGACATGGTGAAGGCTGTAAGGTGTGACAGTGGAACGCTGGTGTGGTACAGGCCGTGGTGTGACATGGTGAAAGGTTGCCAGGTGTGACATTTGGAGATTTGGTGTGGTACGACCGTGGGGTGACATGGTAAAGGCTATGTAGGTGTGACAGTGGAAGGTTGGTGTGGTGGGCCGTGGTGTGACATGGTGAAGGCTGTAAGGTGTGACAGTGGAAGGTTGGTGTGGTACAGGCCGTGGTGTGACATGGTGAAGGCTGTAAGGTGTGACAGTGGAAGGCTGGTGTTGTACAGGCCGTGATGGATACTGTCAGCTGGCCGTATGGAGGGTGTGAGATGCTGTGATGAGGGTCGCGGCATGATGTGATGGAGGATTGTGGGGGGATGTGCATGACGTCCACACTGTTCTTGCCATGCATCACTGTGAGGGGCGACAGGGAGAGTAGCGAAGGTAAGAATTCTCTCAATCTACCAGCAACTTAATAGGAAAGTCTGATCTCATGTTGGGGAATGAGTTAGAATGAATTGTAAACAAGACACTTGCAAAGTTTTTTTTTTTAGCAGAATAAGGAATGACAGTAAAAGGTTAATAAAGGCAGGAGTGAAAGAGAAGTAAAAAAAATGGTGTATGTGTAGGGGGCGAGGTGGTGGTGTGGGTAGCGTGCAAATAGGCAGATCAGGAACAATTGGGGGCAGACCCCTTGTGGTAGCGGCAACTCACGCGACCGTCCACTCGACCCATCCTTCATCTCCGCCATTATGACACATTTGCGTCACACTAGACCTGCATGTGACACACAGACTTTAGGACGGCACCGTCGTCGAGTTGTACCGATTACTGTGGAGGGGGAAGGGGGGGGTTAAGGATGGACATTCTGCACGGAAGTTTGTAGACACGAGGAGGCAGAAGGAACAACACCACACTGTTGGGGGTTTAAGGGAGACGGACCAATTTCTATTCCCAACGATTGATCTCTGACAGGGAAGGATATTCACGTAATCCGAATCCTTTAAAAGTTTCTGTTGCTGCCTCGTAAGGACGGTGTTATACGTGCCATGAGTTAGTGATGTAGCTTTACTTGGGTGCCACAAGTTGTCTTGCTCTGCCACCGTGTCGTGTGAAAGTGTTGCCTGGAGAGAAAGTATCTCACCTTTCTGCCTGGAAGCATGATGTAAATATTGTTGGTGCTGCTGGGCCTCATATTCGGGATGTAGGAAGTGTGTTAAGGATTGTAAGCGTGGGGAAGAGGGAAGTGTTAAGAGCGTTAATACTCTGGCGTGTTTGTCTGGATCGTTTCTTAGCGCTAAATTTCCTTTCCGAAGCACAGTCGACAAGTGCGTCACAGAGATCGCCTTTATGGCTTTCCGATAAAGGAGCCGACTGCCTTGTTCTGAGGTTTTAAGGGGAAGCAGCTGAGAGGGGAATAGTCACTTCAATAGAAGACCTCGGGAAAGACTAATGGCGTAGGAGGAAGAGGGAAGAAGAGAGGCGGAAAGCTTGCTCGTAAGGGGAAGAGGAAGTGCCAGGTGCCACCAAAGTGTGAGGAGTTTTTCTCACTTATAGAACAATAAAGTGAAAATATCTGAAGGAACCAAAAAATTCAAGCTGAAATACTGTAGTAGGACTGTATAGAGGTAAATGATGAGGTGACGAGTGAAAAACAAACGACGTAAGAGGAATAATATTTGAATAAGGGAATAAAAAGGACAGAGAAGATAGAAAAAGAGAAGTAGCAGCAGCAAGAGGAGGGGAGGAAATCACCACTTAAACTGTGGCAGGGGCAGCTGGGCATCAGGCCGGCGAGGTGACAGGAGGTGGTGGCGGCGAGGCCACACACCTCCCTCACTCTCTTGGCCTCCTTGCCACAATTGGGACAAGAATTGCTATCATGTCACTTTCACCATTCGTCTTGTCATATCTCATTGTCCATGGTCTCCTCATCCCCTCCCTCATCCCTTCATCCTACTGACCTCCCCCCTCCCTCCTCCTTCTTCCCCCCCGCTTGTCCTCGCGTGCTAGCTGGTCCTCGTAAGCTGTCACCACCATACTCAACCTCAAGAGTCATCCTTCACAAAGGTCCCCTCTTGCTTCTGCCTTTCCACTATCGTTATTTACATTTCACACAACCTATAAAGTGTAACACATACGTCTTAGTGCTTATTTACCCTTTTCGCCTCTCTTCGTTTCTCGGTATATTCATGGTGGTATTCTTAATCCATCTATCAAGAGAGAAAGATGGGACAGGGTGAGGGAGAGGAGGTATTCTGGATTCCAGATTCCAAATACGAGGGTTGTAGATCGAAGACATTCCATAGGCATATCGGATTCAAATCTATGTAAATTTTCAATACGATCAGCGGAGAGGGTCTGGAGTAGCTTTTCTTGTTGGTTCCGCTGGCTGCTTAGTGTGTCGCCCACGTGTTGTGTTTACTTTTTTGAACAAAACAAACACAACGAAAACCTGTTTAAATTGTCTGCTGTAAAAAAGGACAGAGACTTTCGTAACTGGAGAAAAGTGTGGTAATGGCATGCGGTGCAGTGTGAAAACACACTGATTTTGACATCTCCGATAAACAAATGACTGGAGTTGGCCATGTCGGCGGTGCCGCGCTAGGCATCTCATCCCTTCAGGAAACTGAACTTTAAAATTTCAATGGGGGGTCGCAGGTCGACAGAGGCGGGAAATTTGAAAGTTTCCCTCACATATTGAAATCCAATTTCCGCGGCAGACCGAGTCGGTGCCACATCAGAGGGCTGAGGGGAAGCTAGTGGCACCCCGGCCGGGTGGCACTCTGGCACTCTCCTCTTTGCACTCTCTGGAGTTCTGCACGGGGGAAATTGTTCATAACTTTTGCTCTGCGTGATTAAAGGAAATGAGAAAACCTGTTTGTATTTATTTATTACATGTTGTAGTAAAGGGTGGAGAGGTCTCTAGTGGTGTCGCCGTGCTCGGCAAATCATTGAGGACGGCAGTTCATCCAAACAGGAAATGAGAATCCAAGTTTACTTGTTTGTGGAGAAATTATACTGACATAAGATGGGACATAGGACCGGGTGAATTAGGCTGAGCAACAAAAAGGCAGAGATGTCATTACTCTCGCAGCTTCAGTGAATAATATGTTGTTATTGTGTGTGTGTTCATTATTGTACTGGTAGTGACTGTTCCTACACATGTTGTTAAACATTCTATCTGTGTCTTGTATTATTCCTTTCTACTTTCCTTCTCTTTTTCTCTGTGTTTTTACTTTTTTCTCTTGTTTCCTCTTTCCTTCTTACTCTCCATCTTCCTGTGCTGCTTACTTGTTCTCCTCGTCTCTCTCATCCACTATTCTATTCTTAGTCAACCTTCTCCTCCGACCTTCACTATATTTCATTATATCTCACATAATATATCATTATCTCTATCATTTTTTTATTCTCTCTTGGCTTCTCTTCGTGTACTTCTCTCTAATCTCAACGATCTTCTCCAGCCTCTGGACTGTGTATCTTTTATCTCCTTCTTTCACCTTTTATCTCCATCATCTCGTTATTTAATTCATCTTTAGCTCTTTTATCTTCTTACTCTTCTCTTCTCTCTCCTCATTCCGTACTCTTACATTTTGTCCTCTTTTCACTCTCCCAACTCATCCACCCTCGCTCTATTATCACTTATCCCCTCCGTCTCTCTCTGTCTCACCCTCCCTCCCTACTCTCCCTTCTCTCCCTTCCTACTCTCCCACTCTCCCTCCCTACTCTCCCTCACTCTCCCCGTGTCAGAAGCCTCGGGGAAGCGCCACTCAGGATATGGCCAATTGTCGCCGCCGTAATGCTATCTGATTGCCCTCTCGGAGCGCCGGATTTGAAAGTTGCTGCTTCCATCGATTCTAAAACTGCTTATTGAGGGTCGGGGTGTTTGTGGTGTTGTTAGGAGGTGTGGTCTATACTCTCAGGTGTTTGACTGGCGCTGATACCGAGGCCCTGGGGTAAGAGGATACAGCAGAG